GTAGTGATACCGCCTTGGAAACCCAACGAGCGGTCGCTATGAGTCGGGTCCGACTTCATGGCACATAACAACAACAACAACATGACAGTAACAGAAGTAGCCATTGTCATAGCTAACAGCTTATGAACATGTGTTACCGCCTTTTCAGGTGAAGAGACTGACTCTAGGGGACATAACTTGCCCTGGGTCTCAGGGGAGTCAGTGGGGGAGCTCTCCAAGGTGGTAACAGCCTTGTTTGAACTCTAAGACAGTGAAGATGGCCCATTCCTGCTCCAGCAGAGCCCTGGGCCAGGGCCCCATTGGTCCAGGCTCCCTTTCATGCCCTAGAGGAACTGGGAGAGCCTGTTGATTGGCAGCCTCAAGAGACAAGAGGTCAAAAACCAGGTCTTTCTTCCTCAGATGAAGTGGTTTTAAAGTTTGATCGGAATCGTGTGCGTATCCGTAATGTGGCGTATGACACACTTCCTGTTGTGATCCATGGCAACGGTCCCACCAAGGTGCCCACAATGGCTTATACCCTCAGAGGCCCTGTCCCTACCCTGCCCCTGCCCTCAGCCCTGCCACAGATCTCTGACAGAGGTTTGAAGTATCCCCCTCCTCCTCCTCCTGCCTGTCTGCCCAACCTCCCTCACTCTCGCCCTCACCCCTGAAGTCCTCCTCCTCAGCCACTCGCTCACCGTCTCTCCCCAACAGCTCCAGCTGAACTACCTGGGAAACTATGTCCCCAATGGCTGGACTCCTGAAGGAGGCTGTGGGTTCTGTGGTCAGGACCGGAGGACACTCCCGGGGGGGCAGGTGAGACGGGGTGCCAGGATGTGCAAGCTCACTGCAGCAGGGGTGCAGGCGAGGAGGCTGGCCAGCAGTGGTGGGGGTGGGCCAAAGCTCCCAGCTGCTCCAAACCTGGGAGAGTGGGTAGTGGCAGGCAAGGGCTGTATGGGCGGGGCAGGGCTGGCCGGGCTGGGGCTTCCCCTGACCCTCGGCTTGTCCTGTTTTCCAGCCTCCCCCCCGGGTGCTTCTAGCCGTGTTTGTGGAACAACCTACCCCGTTCTTGCCACGCTTCCTGCAGCGGCTGCTGCTCCTGGACTATCCCCCCAGCAGGGTCACCCTCTTCTTGCACAACAACGTGAGACACCCTGGCAGGCCTCTCCCTGTGTTCTCTCCCGAGGGACCCTTCCCCAGCCCCAAGCAGACTCCTTTCAGCCAAGGCTTCCGGGCCCCTGCACCAAACACCTTCCGACAGCTTTCTAGTCACCCCTCCCCACCCCTTCCTTATCCCTCGGGCTCATCTCTCCTGCCGCCCAGTACCCCCCCAACCCTCCGGTCTCTTCTCCAGGAAGTATACCACGAGCCACACATTGCGGACTTCTGGCCCCAGCTCACGGACCATTTCTCAGCTGTGAAGCTGGTGGGGCCGGAGGAGGCCCTGACCCCAGGCGAGGCCAGAGACATGGCCATGTGAGTAGGTGGTGGTGAGCCACTGAGTGGGCTCGCCCTCCCCATCTCCTCCCCACTCCCCGGGCCGGCCATTCTTCCACCTGGCGCTAGTGCCCCTCGTCACCCCCATGCCACCACCCCCCTCGCAGCTCCCAGACAGGGGAGAGTCTCTGGGCCCTGGAAAGGAAACCCATTGGCTCCCCCTCTGCCCCCCAGTCCCTTTTGCCTCCTTTCCTTTTGCTGTGTTTCTGCCCACTTCCTCTTCTCCTACTCAGAGGGGGGGGTGGGGGGGTGCCCCCATTTTCAGATCACCCGTGGATCTGTCACCTGCAGGGACAGTTGTCGGCAGGACCCCAACTGTGAGTTCTACTTCAGCCTGGACGCCGACACCGTCATCACCAACCGGCAGACCCTACACATCCTCATTGAGGAGAACAGGTCACTTGCCTGGCTCAGCCAGAGGCCCCCAAATAGTCCTCAGGGACCCCCAGCGTCCCCCCTGGCATGAGGCGCCCCTGGGCTCACCCCTCTGCCTAGCCATCACCTCAGCCTCATCCACAGGAAGGTGATAGCTCCCATGCTGTCCCGCCACGGGAAGCTGTGGTCCAACTTCTGGGGTGCGCTGAGTCCCGACGAGTACTACGCGCGCTCTGAGGACTACGTGGAGCTGGTACAGCGGAAACGAGTGTGAGTCTGCCTGCCTCCTCTGACCCAGGCCTCTGTAGACCCCAGCACCTTCTCTGAAGCCACCCCCCATCTCAGGGTCTGTTTGTGGTCACCAGTCAGACATGTGGGTTGGCAGGGTGGGAACTAACTGGGTTGATTGGGAGATTAGGTGACCCCCAGTGCTTGACAAGGGGAAGGGACAAGGCTTATGGAGTAGGGTACCCTAAGGGAAGGGGCCCCTGGGATGAACTGGGCAAAATACTGGGGGTCCACTAACCTAGCTGACTCTGGTGTCGGTGCCACCAGGGGCGTGTGGAACGTCCCCTACATATCCCAGGCATACTTGATCCGTGGGGAGACCCTGAGGACAGAGGTGCCCCAGAGGAAGGTATTCTCCAGCAGTGACACTGACCCAGACATGGCCTTCTGTAAGAGCCTCCGGGACAAGGTGAGCAGCACAGGGCCTGGAACGCGGGGCCTGTGGCCTGATGCAGACACCGGGAGGCAGCCATTTAGGGTATCCTCTGTCCTTCACCCCCGACCCCCTCTCCAGGGCATTTTCCTCCACCTCAGCAATCAGCATGAATTTGGCCGGCTCCTGGCCACTTCCCGGTATGACACAGACCACCTGCACCCTGACCTCTGGCAGATCTTTGATAACCCCTTGGTGAGTGAGGGCCCCTCCCCCAGATGATGCACGTGCCTGCCCTTCATTAGAGGACAAGACCCTGGCTGAGGGACACCCCCTGTGCAGGGCTTCATGCTGCCAAGAAGGGCGGGCCCAGGGCTTCCTGAAGGGGGTACAGAGGTCACAGATTGGGGAGCAATATCCTGACACCCCCGAACCCTCCCAGGACTGGAAGGAACAGTACATTCATGAGAACTACAGCCGGGCCCTCGAAGGGGAAGGAATGGTGGAACAGGTGAGCCCCACTTAGCAGCACCCTATGCCCTGATGGCCGTGGCCTCTAGGGCTGACTGTCTGGAGTGGTGGTTTTCAAACTGTGTTCCTCCATGTGCCTTAAATGTACCTCAGGTTTTCTGCTCAAGCAAGACGAAGACAAAGCTGAGCCCTGAGCCCATTGGGCTGCAGCCCCCACCCCTCCTCCGCATTAATCCCAGAGCTTCTCTTTGCTTACTGGGCAGATCAACCTTATGGGTGGAAGCTCATTTGTTAAGAAGGGTGGGCTGCTATACAGACATTTGAAAACCACTCCTGGAACGTGGGACCCTGGGTCCTCTTGCGACCCACTTGTACTTTCCCAGCCCCGTCTCAGCCTCACTCTCCCTTCACTGCACCTTGCTACGTCCCAGCCTTCCATCGCCCGGTCCTTCTCAGGGCCCATGGCCAAGCCCAGTCCCCACCCCCGGCTGCTTCCTTTGCTCCTTCCAGCGTTGTCTCACCTCCATTTGCTGCCTGTCCCCTTTCCCCGTTCTGCAAGTGTCACCCCAGCCTTGTTGCCCTGTCCCCAGCCGTGCCCAGACGTGTACTGGTTCCCACTGCTGTCCGACCAGATGTGTGACGAGCTGGTGGAAGAAATGGAGCACTATGGCCAGTGGTCGGGAGGCCGGCATGAGGTGAGGGGGCGTGAGGACAACCGGAGAGGACGGAGCATCCCCCAGAGGAAGGAGGTGCTCTGAGAGGGATGGGATCAGGGGAGTGGGAGCAGAGAGAGGCACCCCAGGGAGTGCGGCCCACAGGGGATGCACTGAATCCATCCACCATCCATCCACCCATTCACTCCTCACCGGGCACGTCCCAGATGCCAGCCACTGAACAAGACAGTGCAGGTACGATGACGAACGGTGCAGGCCAAGCTCTGCCCTCTCAGAGATGAGTGAGCAGCAACCCAGATACTGTAAGAGCCACGGGGGAGGCCTGTACCCAGGCTGGGGGGAACTGGGCACTGGGGGACTTCACAAACGAGATGACATCTTAGCTGAGATCGAAAGGGCCAGTAAGAGTGAGTCGAGCCAGGAGGTGGTTGAAAAGACTCATCCTGAACCTTGTTTTAAGGCCTGGGAGCAAGAGGTAGGAGAAGGCGGGCACTGCTTCTGCGGGGGCCGTGCCTAGCTGTGGGGGTGGCTCAGTGCCCAGTGCCCACAGGATTCCAGGCTGGCTGGCGGCTATGAGAACGTGCCCACGGTGGACATCCACATGAAACAGGTGGGCTATGAGGATCAGTGGCTGCAGCTGCTGAGGACGTACGTGGGGCCCATGACGGAGACCCTGTTCCCTGGCTACCACACCAAGGTGGGCCACTGCCCCTGCTACTGCCTACCTCCTCCTTCCTCCCACACCCTGCACCCCAGCCTGGAAGGCCCCACGCAGAGCCCTTGCAGCCCCGTGGCATCCGGGTCCCAGGAAGGTAGCCCTGGGGAGGGACGCTGCAGGCTGAAACGTGGACACTCAGCTCTGACACCAGTTAGCAGAGACCTGTGCAGGGCAGGGGCCGGGGGAGCCCATGCTGCCTCTGGGCAGAGGCGTCACCTCTTTAGAGGACCCTCGGGCCTCACAGCCCTCCAGCCTCTTCTCTCCGGTCTCCCAGACCCGGGCCGTGATGAACTTTGTGGTCCGTTACCGGCCAGATGAGCAGCCCTCTCTGCGGCCGCACCACGACTCCTCCACCTTCACCCTCAATGTTGCCCTCAACCACAAGGGCCTGGATTACGAGGTCAGCTCCCACCCGGCTCC